GGTTATTATAATGTTCATTTATAAACAATGAAATGAAAATATATGAAAATATATATATATATTTTTGTTACTAAAAAAAAGTAWTCAAAATATATTYGGAATATTTTTTGTGAATTATTCCGAATACTTTGGAAAATTATTATCATGGAGTATTCGAATAAATATTCTAAATACATTTTTAAGTATTCTGAATATATATTCGAAATACATTTTAAAAGTATTTTACCCAAGTCTGATTGTTTTAAATAGCCAATTAAAGTTTTTTTTGTCCAAGCAAATACGTTTAAAATATAAACCTATAAAATTAAGTTAACTTTAATATCTTTTCTCTCAAATTTAAGAAATTAAGTATGATATATTAATTGCAAATTATTCCATTATAATTAGGTATGCATCATTGATACTTATCATACTTTTATCAATTCAAGTGCATTTCGTTTATCGGGATTACAACACTTGTCAATTGTTTTCATATCAAATTCAATTCGRTTATTTGCTCGGTTTAATTTCATTATTTGTTCATTGGACTCTTTGAGTACGCGTTCACGTTCACTGTCTTTAATGTCTCGAATGTTAATCAAATTCTCTAGTTCTTCACTCCTTAACTTGTATTGATCTTCTAAATCCTGTAGTAATGTATTAATTATTATAGAATATATTATGGCTAAATGTCAAGTACTAAACTTGTTTARTTACCTATCTAATTATAATACCCATTTCTACGATAGAATCGATTCCTGACATTCTAGATGGCACWCATCTGAATTGGTTCCCAACACAAAGACTTTTAAATTTAAACACATATTTAACTACAAAGTAGGTACCTACTAAAAACAAATATGACTACGAGACTAAAACTAAAAAATGTTATTAGATAAAACAAATATAGACAAACACTCGTTTTGGGTGATAAGGGGGAAATATCGCTTATAATATGATCGATTTATTTTCAAAATTCAATGATATCAATTTGCAACTTCAAGGTAACGACCTCAATCAACTATATCTGCCCTCCAAAAAAAAAACTAACTTTATGGAATCAGCATTTTGGTCGCAGCGAACTATGCCAGTTTCCAGTTCTGTCAGATTTACACAAGGACAGTAAAATATCTTTTTATAACTCAAAAATTTACTGTCAACACCTTCAGTCTTTGGATAAGGATTTTTCACAACGTTTAGAAGATATTTTGTCACTGGAAGTTCCTAAATGGGTCATAAATCCTTTTGTAAATATTGAATCGTCAAAAATGCAGTATCAAGAAGAATTGAAAGACATTTCTACTTACGAGATGTTAAAAGCAACTTTTTAGAATGGTGAATACCTCACAGAATTTTGGCTACAGTCTACTATCAGTCGCATCTATCCCGGTCTGTGGACTGTAGTACAAAAATTATTAATTGCCTTCCCTTCCTCTTACCTCGTTGAGTGAGGATTTAGTACTGTGACGAATCTATAACAACGAAAAAAAGAAATCGACTGGATATCGTCAAAGAGAAAACTTAGGCTTTGAACCAAACGTAAAAAAATCGGCTTTAAATCACTAAGTACAGCCATCTCACTGATCAGTGATCAATACATTTCAAAACATTTTAATTAACCTCTTAAATTATATAAGCATATATTTAGATTTTATTTTCATTATATTTACTTTATATTATTTATTATTCAATATTATAAACATTTCATGTATACTATTAAACGCATATCATTAAAAAATTAAGCTATTTTTAAAAACTATTGTGTTCTATATGGGTACCTATTTAAACAAATAACACAAATCCTAAATATTTATAGAATGGAAAGTAAAATTTAAAACACATTTAAAATAATTAGAAACYAATTCAGATACACCGTAAATATATTATTACAGTTCAGTTTTTTTTTTAAAATACAAATTTGTGATACAAAAGCCCAGGTTCACAAAGGACACTTATCCCCCCCCCCAAGTTGTAGATTTTTGTGTATATAGTGGTTCCTAGTAGCTGGTAAAATATGATATAATAATTATTATAACTATATTTTAAATATAATATTCTATCATAAACTCAAAAAATTCATAATGATTAATGATGGTAGGTGGTAAATGTCTAAGATTGCTCCCTGTAAAAATAAAGCGAATTGCACTGATGTACAGTCCCATGTATAAATATAATTAAATAAAAAATATAAATATGAATATCTATTATCTATAAACTATACTATTTTCTATGTTATAAAAAAAAGTGCGCTGGAAATATACGTATACAAACCTGAAATATCCATTAGGTAAGTATAAGTAATAAATTCTTTAAGTTTGATCAAAATATCGTTTAAATATGTATCAATTCAAAATATTAATCCAAGTTATGAAACATATTATAAATACTATATATGTTGTCTAAAAGATATATTATAAACTTCGTCTAAATAATTTTTATTTTTATTAGGTAAATTAAGTAAATATACAATCTGTAAGTTGATATAAAATCATTTTACCTACCTATATAAATAATAGAGAAAACMAAAACAAAAAAAAACTAACAATTTTGAAATAGAGCTATCTATTAACGTTTCTCAATTTTAATCCAAAATTATAAACTTAAATTGTACCCTAACTCCTAAAATATAATAATAACTCCAAAAGAAAAACACAGAACATATAGGTACTATGATCTTTGATACAATTGTACACAAATAATTACATCTTTGATTAGGTATCAACAGTTAAATTTTAGCACCTTTTTTATGTGAACAAAAACGAAACCAAAAACCTTTCATTATTAACACATAACAATATTCAAATATGATAACTCAAAATAAAATACTCTTACAAAAGTTGAAAAGTATAGAATTCGCATTTACATTTTAGAAGATCCAAATAAAATGCATCATATTTATTTATAATATATGCTGTAAACAGCTCAAAACCTGTCAAAATATGTTGATAACTTTATCAAGTGTAAAAAAAATTTTTTTTTCATGTATTTGAAT